GGGTTTCCAGAAATAGGATACCATGACCAGAGACTAAAACCAAACACCCAAGGAGTATTTGTTTCCCAACCACAGCCAGTGCCTTCTGCTGATTCTCCCTGCCAACGAGCGTGAGAGGGCTGGGAGGGCCGGGGGAGCAGGTGTGGGAGCGCTAAGAGGTAGAGGGTAGGGTCAGGCAGACGGCTCCTTCTTCACAGCTAGAAAATGGCTCCAGGCTTAGTGTTGAGCAATGCTGGTGTCTGTCCCCTGCGGGAGCCCTCCCCTATGCCACCACAAGATGACTAATGAAGAACCCCTGCTTGTGCCTGCTTGTAGAGCCTCGTAGCTGGAGGTCTAAAAGGACGAGAAGCAGATGGCAAGGCAATAATTTTAGTAACCACTTACAGAGCATGTATTACATGCCAGACCTGTGCTCTATTTACATTAAGGCTGGTGGTTAAAAGTGTGACGCTCGAGTCCAGAAACACTGGCTTGGCCTCGGCTCCATCTCACTCGCTTTGAGATTTTACTCAAGTTACTTAATCTCTTCGTGACCTGATTTCTTTCATCTGTAAAATAATAACAATAAGAGTATTTACCACATAGAATTGTGAGGGGTTAACATGGGATACTGCGCACAACTTGTGTTGCAGCGTCTGGTGGATATTAAGCGCTGCGTAAATGTGAAGCATTGTTATATGCACTTGTCATTTCTAACCCTACCCCGATCCTGCAATGTAAATCCATTAGTTAGAGAGAGGTTTGGCTGCTGTAGCAAAGGTTCTGTTTGTCTGTTGCTTAAGCAAACTAGAAGCTTATTTCTCCTTAAAACATAATAGTCCAGAGGTAGGCAGGCCAGCACAGGAGTGGGAGGTTCTATCATGTTCAGTCTGTAGCTTCTACCATTAGGGTGAAATGGTTGATGCGGTTCCCACCATCATATCTTCATTCCGTTCAGTAGGAAGGGGGAAATTAACCTCTTCCTTCTAAGAGTATCCTTAAAGTTTGTATATAACATTGCTGCTCAGACCCCACTGGCCAGACTTAGTCAGATGGCCATCCTATGTGCAAAGAAAGCTGGGAAATATAATCTTGCCCTTAGCTAAAATTGTGGTGATTTACAGTTAAGGAAGAAGAAAGGGAAAATAGATATTGTTCTGCCAGAGTTCAATGTCTGTCCACCCCTAACAAAGAGCACATTTAGCACCCCTCGAAGGGAGGGAAGACTTCTGTCCAGACACAGCCCAGCTCGGAGCCCAGGACCTCTCAGGGACCAGGTGTGGATGAGATGCTCATGGCCTGGTGACTTATAAACCAAAAGACAGGTGATCCTGCCCTCCCATTCCCCACAGACAACAGGGGAGAAGGAACAGGATAAACTCAACTAAAACATCCACTCAAGGATAAAAAAGCTGTGGTATATACAATAGAATATTACTCAGGCAAAAAAAAAAAAAAAAAAAAAAAAAGAATGAAATCTTACCATTTGCAACAGCATGGATGAACCTAGAAGGTATTATTCTGAGTGAAGTCAGTCAGAGAAAGACAAATACCATGTGACTTCATTCATATGTGGAATCTAAAGAACAATATAAATGAACAAACAAAACAGAAACAAACTCATAGATACAGAAAACAGTCTAATGGTTACCAGAGGGGAGAAGGGTTGGGGAACCAGGTGGAAAAGGTGAAGAGATTGAGAAAAACAGATTGGTAGTTATAAAATAATCATGGAGATGTAGAGTTCAGCATAGGAAATACAGTCAATAATTGTGTAATAACTATGTATGGTGCCAGGTGGGGACTTGAAATACCGGGGGAAAAACACTCTGTAAAGTAGATGATTATCTAACCACTATGCTGTACACCTGAAACTAATACAAAAGAATACTGAATGTAAACTGTAATTGGAAAAAAATCCACTCATCAAGAAAGAATGGCAAACACCTGGCAGCCACTGGCTCTTAACAGTTACTAAATCCAGATGGGCAGAATTGCAAAGCCGCCTCCTAGCCTCGAAATAAGTTGGGAAGTGCGTCTGGCCACCCCTGCTTCTGCTGTCTGGGAAGATCTCCCCTTTCTACTCTCTTCGGTGGCCTCTGACATTGCCTTCTGGGAGCTTCTCCTACCCAGTATCCTCTGCAACCACAATGAAGTTACAACTTTCACAACACTCCTCCAGCTGATGCAGATTTGGGAGAGTGGGAATAACGGGGGTAGGGGTGTCAAACCAGGGTTTGTGACTTGGTTGTGGTTTCTTTGTGAATACAATGCCCTCAAAATCTTAGAAGTCTTCTGACTGGTTTCCTATTTGAGCAACTACAGCCAACAGTCACAAAGCTTTTATAGACATAAGTTTTATGCTTGAATACTCTAGACTTGGGGTACTTCCTATTCTTTCTCCAGCTGCCAGTAACTATGTTGAGGCCATTTGAAACAACTATGCTTGATTGTGAAGGGAACTCCCTTATTCTGCTCACTGGGCTGCCTTGCACTTGTTGCTGAACAGGTTGTGTTTGAGAAAGCTTTGGGACCACTGCTAATCTTTGAGTATAGCCCTTGCTAAGCCTGCCTTCTCCAAACTACCTCTTAGAACTTGCATGAGTACATCTCTCTTGTGGGACTTTGCTTGTAGCAGCAAGCAAGAGCCAGCATACATCACCAATTTCATTGCTTCCATCCAGTTTCATGCATGTGTACAGGCTGTTAGCATATGCTTTACCCTTCAAGGGATCATAGATGACAGACGTATCTTAAGTTTTGCTGTAACATAGGGGTGGTCACCAGCTTACGAGCAAACAATATTTTTCTTTGCTGTCTGCTGTCCACTCTCTAAATCAGTGACACTTGTTTTAGGCTTTTAAAGCAGTGCCACTTCCAGATACCAAATGCTGCCTTAGTTAGTATACATGTTTGGTTGTTGTAAGGAAGACCCAATTTAAATGACTTAAACAAGAAAGTTTATGCTTTTTTCTTACAGTAGTCCAAACCTGGCAGGGTGACTCTGAAGCCCTTAAGAAATCTCTCTCATCTTGGGTACAAGATAGCTGCTCTAGCTCCTGCCATCGCATTAGCCTTCCAGTCAACAGGAAGAGAGGAACTCATGCTTCTTTCTTTTAAGGCCTGACCTGGAAGTTGCTCACATCACTTCCACTCATATTGCATTCGCCAAATTTAGTCGCGAGGCCATATTTAGCTTCAAGGAAGATTAAGAACCTGTGTTTATGATAGGCAGCCATTCCAGTTATAATTCAAGTGATTCTATTACTAAAGGAAGAAGAGAAAAATAGATACTGGGAAGCAACTGGTAGTCTCTGCCACCTAATGTTTTTATCCTTATTTTACATTTGTAGAAACAGACTCAGAGAAAGCGAGCTACGCTTGCCAAGGTCATATGGCAGGCAAACAGCAGAGCATAAATTTTAATCAGGTCAACCTGACCCCAGGCAGGCTTTCCATCCCATCCAGCCCAAATTTGGTCCTCAAGGTGCACACTATTTACCTAGAGATAAAATATACTGGCATGTGAATAGTTATGTAAATGCCAGGCCCACGCACACTGAGATGCACCCCCAGAACGCTCACTAGCAGACCTGTGCAGTGGGGGTGATGCAACCAGGGGAGACTTTCTGATGAAGAACCCCTGCCACTGGCCCTGCCAGTGGACCATGGCTGAGGTGGAGGGGACAGTAAAGTATTGCAGGAAAAGGCAGTGGTGTCAGCTGAGCCGGTTGTGTATCTGGCTTGTCTGTGAGGGTCCCCTGGGGAGCATCAGGGGCGGGGGTTTTCCAGGTCTGAAGCATCACACACGTCCAGGGATGGTCCACTTGATCCTTCTACCATTTGAGGTGTCTCATTAGTTGTGCCTTAGACATTCTGGACAGGAACAGGAAACAGGGGTCCCGTGGGAGGAGAGCAGCACTCACCCTTGCACTTCCTAAAACACACATGGATGGGCAAAGTCCCTTCCCTGCTTTGCTCTCCTCCACTCCACCCCACCCCTGGCTGGACAGGGCTTTGAGGAATGATGGGAAACATGCTCAATCGATTCAGCAAGGAACCCAGTAATCCATTACCGAGTGTCCAGCCCAGGGCCAGAGACCGAGATGGAAGAAGCTGAAAGAAAGAGAGGAAGGGAGGGGCAGAGAGAGAGAGAGAGAAAGGACAGTTGGAGCAGCTGGGTCAGCGTTTCTGATTTGGACATTGACTCAGGCTCCAGGAATGCCCAGGGAGGGGGAGGGGCAGCCACCAGAGCCAGGCTGGGATCTTGCTGGCACGAGGAGATGAAGGAACAGGAAACACAGCAGGATGAGGGTACTGGGGCTGCTGCACACCTGGACCTTCCTCCAAACCCCACACGTAGAAACAGGGGTCTCCCTCCCTGTGGACCAATCTAGCCTGCCCCCAAGCCGTCAAGCCTACTGTACACCCTCAAGGTAGTCATCACAGTGCGCCCCCCCGCCACCCGAACCATCCCAGTCCTCCACAGAGAGAGGGACAGGCTCCAAAGACTCAAATGGGGACATCTGGACACAAATTGGCCACCCTCCTGGGACCACCCACAAACCCCACAGCCCCAGCCTCCCAGCTGGCTGCAGCTTGCCCTTTCTAACCCCAGCACCACCCATAACTGAAGTTTGTATAAGGTAGAAAGTTAGGCTCAACCTGCCTCCATTTTCCCTCATTTGGCGCCTGCAAAACATGAGAACGGTCCTCAGAGAAGGGACTCAGGACGCAGAGCCCACCTCCTCCTCGCGCCAGTGCCCCCACGTTGCTCGGAGCCACCTCCCCCCGGCAGGAGCCTTTCTGCTTCTTGTCTGAGATCCTGGAGGCAGCCCAGGACTGGACTTCAAAATCCCAGGTTGCCCCCTTCCTCCCCACCCCGCCCCCAGGCTGCTGGGCTGGAGCCACGGAGTGGGCAGACCCCCCCTCCCGGCTGCCTGACACCCAGGGAGAAACCGATCTGGGAGGGCGGGGTGCCCGGAGCCAGGCCCAGAATAGAGCTACCCGGCCACAGTGTCCAGCGCTTGCTCTCCGTTGGTCTGGTTGGCCGCATGGAGCCCGAGCTGGAGCACACACTGCGCAGGGTACCAGGGTTCCAGGGAGGCCGTGAGCTGGGGACACACCACGTTGTGTGAATGTGTGTGTGCATGCACACATATGTATGTGTATTTGACCTGGACTTTCTCTGTGTATATGAGTGTGTTTGTGTCTGTGTATATATATCCTTTGTGTAAGTGAGGGTACTTGGTTCTGTGTCTGGGAATGGTTGAGTGTGTGTGTTTCTGAGTGCGTGTAAATATCTATGTGTGGGTGTGTGTTTACGGGTATGGGGGGTGGGTGTTTATGTGTGTATATGTGTGTGCACGCTCACGTGCACACCAGGGGAAAGGAAGGATCCGTGTTCCAGAACGCAGGGCATTTTCCCCACACCTTCAGGCATTCTCCTCCCCAGAGGCCCCCTCGTGGAGCAGCTTTGCGGGACCTGAGAACCCAGGTAGGTAGGGCGGCCCCTCCTGGCGGGCCCAGCCTCTTTTTTCTGGGCCCCCATTCTCACCCTCCCCGCTGGCCTGGCTTTTGTCTTCCTCCCCTTTTCTTTCTTTCTTCCTCTTTGTTTCTTCTTCCTCCTTCCCCCCTTGCTCCTTCCCCTTTCAAAAGCAGAGAAGGTGGAACGATAGCCTGAAGACTTAAACCCTGGTTCTGACTTTGTCATTTATTAGCTGTGTGATTTACGGCAAATTTTTTATCCTCTCTAAGCTCAAGTCCCCTGTTAGTAAGCAAGGAATGGTAATAATGCCTCCCTTATCAAATCGCTGTGAGGCTTGAATGAGAATATATTGGAGAAAAGTCCTCTGAAAGCTTGCAAATATTAAATGGCATTATTAATAACATTTTCATCGATTGCTGTGTTACTCCCTATTAACCAAACGGGCCCCATCCCCACTTCCAGAGATGAGCTTCCTAGGGCAAGGAGACAGCACTTCATGGCCATCGCCAGCCATGACCGCCAGCTCAGAAAGAAGCCATGGGAAGCGGGGGGCCAAGGCCTCAAGATGGACAAGGCAGGAGGCTGTGGAGGAAGAGGACCTGCCAGGCCTGGGGGAAGAAGGTGAGGCCAAGGCCAGTTCTGGGGGAAATGGGGAGGGGGCGCAGTGGGAAGCCCCAGAAGCCTGGGGCCTGGGCTCTGCCCTTGATTCTTCCATAACACAGAGTTGGGCCCAACCCTCATTTTGTAGCCTCAGTCTCCCTACATGGAAGAAGACTACCGTATTGCAGAGCCAGGGACGCCACACGAGTTACTTGGGACAGAGCCAGTATCTCGTGTGACTCCCTGAGACCCAGCTTCCTCATCTGCAAAATGGGGTCCACAAAGCCCAGGCTTCCCAAGGCTGCTGTGAGGATAAACCGAGACAGCAGATAATAAAGTATTTTGGACAATGGGATCACTGTCCTCTCCCCCTCAAACAGGTCCCCAATCCAGGCCAGCTGCTGAGTACATTGGGCTGGAGGCCACATTCCCCAAGGCCACACCCTTGGCCCAGGCTGCTCCCTTGGACACCATCCCCTCTGAGTGCGCAGCCTCAGCCCCTGGCTCCAGCGCAGACGGTCTGGAGCTGGGCGAAGAGGTCCCGGCCTCAGCCGCCTGCAGGTATGAGCTCGGCCTGCTGGAAGAGGGGCCTGCCCGCTGCGCGCCCCTGCAGGCCCCGTTACCCAGGCAGGGCTTGGACGATGAGCTGCAGAAACCAGGCGCCCAGGTCTACATGCACTTCATGCAGAAGCACACCTGCTACGATGCCATGGCAACCAGCTCCAAGCTGGTCATCTTTGACACCACGCTGGAGGTGAGGCCACGGCCCTGCCCACCTCCGTCCTCCCATGGCTGCAGCCACCACTCACCTGCCGGGTACCCTGCCCGGCCAGGCCTCCCTGCACGTCCCCTGCCACAGCTCTTTCTCGGCACCATGGAGACGAGAGCAGGGAGGGCTGCTGCTCTCTGTGAGAGACCCCTGATTGCCGTCAGAGCCCTGCCACTTAGTATCTGTAGGAACTTGGGTGGGTCACGTTACCTCTCTCCTCCCCAAAATGGGGGTAGGAATGCCTGCTTTGCCCTACAAGCTTCGGAGGACTCCTGGGGCATCCCAAGACAGGTAGATGCACTTTGCAAAACCTGAGCGATGAATGTGGAAGATATTGCAGAATGGCTTAGGACAAAGAGCAGGGGGGAGCAAAACCAGATCACTACCGGACTAGTAAGATGAGCTCTGGCCCCTGTTCTTCCATTAGGCTGAGCTATGAAATGCCTATCATTCTATTCTTACCATTATGTATAGTAAAGCAGTGTTTTCCAAATCATGGTATATGTGTTGTCCACACTACATGATCTGATTCTAGTGACATATGAATGAATGTATTTACATGAGTAGCCTTGTATGCTACTCATATAAATATGCATTAGAAATACAGCCAGCATGTTTAGATAGCATTGCTTAGGTTGAGGCCAAAATTGAGTCAATGTAAAATTTATTTAGTGAAAAATATTTTGTGAATGCTATGTAAATAACCATACCTCTAGTACTTAGATTAACAAAATTATACTGTGTCTGTACACATGTGACTTCTGAGTGGAAACAGTTCGTTTTTCACACCCTGGCGTGCCTGGTGACGGTGTCACCTCAGTGCCTCTGGCCACCAGCAGCCTTATCTCTGGAGCAAATGTCCCCAACAAGGATTATTTCTGGTGTGTGCTATGACATGAGGAAGGCAGGCTGGCTTGTGTGGAGGAGGACCCATGAGAAGGCCCCGCAGACGGGGACTCTGGTTGGGACAGGGCACCGCTGAGGGGCGGTGAGAGGCTTACCCTCGTCTATCCTCCCCGGCCCTCAGATCAAGAAGGCCTTCTTCGCCCTGGTGGCCAACGGTGTCCGGGCAGCACCTCTGTGGGACAGCAAGAAGCAGAGCTTTGTGGGTGAGGAAGGCATGGGGAGGCAGAGGTGGTGGGGAAGGTTCCCTCAGAGGAGGGTCCCTGGGAGGTGTTCCTGCATTTGGTTTTCCCACTTGTGGAGCAGTTGTGACCAGCCAACCCCTCTGGCTGTAGTGACCCATGGTCCCAGGTTATATTTGCTAAATAGGAAAAGAGAAAAGGGGAAGGAAGAAACTAGGAGAATAGAAGAAGGTGTGAGGGAAGGGGAGAAATTGGAGGGACTACGGAGAACCCCATTTCTCAGGCACCGGAGGGGCTGCCCTACTCCCCTCGTCCCATAGTTCCCACTGTTGCCTCAGTACCAGGACGCTGGCAGGGACTGCGGGGGAGCCTGGGCCCTCACCCTGCCTCCCACCACAAGGCCCCAGGCTGACGCCCCTGTCCCTCCCAACCCCTCAGGGATGCTGACCATCACAGACTTCATCTTGGTGCTGCATCGGTATTACAGGTCCCCCCTGGTGAGAAGTGGGCTGGGGGTCCTGGAGTACCCCTGGGCTGGGGAGTGGGGAGCTCAGGGAGCCCAGTGCCGAGGGGCCCATGTCTGACTTGCGGAGTCCCGTCTGTCTCTAGGTCCAGATCTATGAGATTGAAGAACATAAGATTGAGACCTGGAGGGGTGAGTGGGCAGAGGGGGCCTGGAAAGGGGCTGAGGGGGTGTGGGTGACCTGAGGGAGAGGACGGGCAGTGGGGATTTCCGAGAGGGGGCAGAGACAGGGTGACGGGGAGCCTGGGGGGCCTAAGGGAAGGGTTTCACTCCGGTGGGCTGTGCAATAAGGCAGGGTAGCCCCTTCCCTTGGCCTGATTTGGGCTTTTTCTGCAGAGATCTACCTTCAAGGCTGTGTCAAGCCTCTGGTCTCCATCTTTCCCAATGACAGGTAAGTGTCCCCAACCACCCACCAGAGCCTCCTTGCTCTGCGCAGTCCCCGGCCCCACCCCTTAGTTCTGAACTCACCTGCGCATGGGGAGACTTGGCACCCCATCCTCCCTTCTAGGGGGCTGGGATGGAGGGTCTCTCTCCCCCGGCTGCCTCAGTCTCACTGCTCCTATCCCGCAGCCTGTTCGAAGCCGTCTATACCCTCATCAAGAACCGGATCCACCGTCTGCCTGTCCTGGACCCAGTCTCAGGCGACGTGCTCCACATCATCACGCACAAGCGGCTACTCAAGTTCCTGCACATCTTTGTGAGCCTGGGACAGCCCGGGAGTAGGGGTGGCCCTGGTCATTGGGAAGGGGGCAGCTGGGAGCCCTGGAGGCTGCTCCGCCCTGACAGCCCCACCTTTCCCCACCCCAACCAGGGCGCCCTGCTGCCCCAGCCCTCCTTCCTCTCCCGAACCATCCAAGATTTGGGCATCGGCACATTCCGAGACTTGGCCGTGGTGCTTGAAACGGCCCCTGTCCTGACCGCACTGGACATCTTTGTGGACCGGCATGTGTCTGCGCTGCCTGTGGTCAACGAAGACGGTATGCACCCCAGGACAGGGCTGGGGGGGCGGGCGGGAGGCAGTGAGGGGCAGTGGTCTGTGGAGCATCAGCTTGGGGCCCAGGGTGGAGGTCGGGCTAGAAGTCTCTGCCTGCTTTGAGCTTTGGACCAGCTGCTCAGCCTCTCTGTGCCTCCGGTTCTTCATGTGTAAAGTGGGAATCTTAACACCCGTCCTCTGACTTCACAGGGTGACTTAAAAGGATTATGTGCAATCAAATGAGCATAATGAGAGAAACCAGTAGATGAGGTTATTCATTTTAATTCACCCTAAAATGGGCCAGATGACCCAGTTAGACCTCTATTTCTTGCTCTGTGAAAGGTTCAGAAGAATTGCGAGATTGCTTCTTTGGTCAACCATGGCTGTGAATGATTTCGAAGTTAAAATTGTCATAATGAAGCTACATAGCAAGAAGTATCCAATTTATTTTTGATTATGAACAATTTCAAATGTATGAAAATGGTAGAAAAAGCTGTATAATGAGCTCCACATATCCATTGCCTGGATTAACTGCTGTTAACATACTACCACGTCAGTTTCTTTTCTTTTCTTTTGCTGAAGTATTTTAAAATAATTCTAGACATCATGCCATTTCACCGCTAAACCGTACAGTCTGTATCTCCTAAAATAAATGTATTTCCTATATCACCTAACAAAGTCATAAATAATTAACATGATCTACTATCCAATCCTAATTCTCGTTTCCCCATTTTTCCCAAGAATAACTTTCTTTTTCACATTTGATTTTTTCAAACCAGGGTTAATTAGGGTCTGTACTTTGCATCTGCTTCTGTCCTTTGAGTCTCTTTGGAGCTAAAACAGTTCCCTCCCTGCTTCATTTTTCCGACACCGATGATGGACAGGCTGGGTGGGTCAGCTCTCCTACAGAACCTCCCGCCCCTAGGTCTGCCGGTTTGCCTTCTATGGGCAGCCTTTACCTTGCTCCTCTATTCCTGCAGACCAGAAATTAGACTTAAGTCTTGATCAGACTCAGGCTAGAATTATGTCACGGGTGATGCGACGTGCTCATGTTGTGTCCCATCAGGAGGTGTGGTGTCAGGTTGTCTCTCTCTGCGGTGCTGTTTGGTCTGCGCGGTTCAGAACAGCAGCCTGACGCCTCACTGTAGAGCCAGCAGTCTCGGGGTGGGGAATGTTGAGGCGTGCATTCCCAAACCTCACCCCAGGCCCTTGCACAGTGTCCTAGTTCTGATCAGAGACTATTCCCTTTCTCTCCCTCCACCCACCACCCCTGCAGGTCAGGTTGTGGGCCTATACTCCCGCTTTGATGTGATCGTAAGTGTCATGGGGAATAGAGGGGAGCTGGGAGCGCGGCGGGGAGGTTGTGGGGGTGAGAATTAGAGGCATCTGTGGACCAGGAGGGCCTTCCCAAGTGTCAGGGGCAATATCTGTGGGCCTAGAGCCTGGTGGAAGGGGTGACTTAGCGGCACTTCCCTCCCTGCCCAGCACCTGGCTGCCCAGCAAACCTACAACCACCTAGACATGAGTGTGGGTGAAGCTCTGAGGCAAAGGACGCTGTGTCTGGAGGGAGTTCTCTCCTGCCACCCTGAGGAGACCTTGGGGGAAGTCATTGACCGGATTGTCCGGGAACAGGTACCGTATACCCCCAGTGCACATGGCGCAATCCTTCTCACGAACTGCTCCGGCCCTCTCTATGCATCAGGCACCTGCCCTGTCCCTGTTTCATGGCCAAGCTCTTGGTGTCCACACTGGTCAGCAACTGGTCCTATCCATGGGGGCCATGGGCCATGGGCCATGGGCCACAGCCCACTGATCACCCCATAGAGGTCAGAACCTCCCTTAACTCGTTTCTAAGAGACACTCTCTTGCTCCCCCAGTTATGTCAATCTGTTGCCCCTGATTCTTGATGGCAGCCTCCCTGGCTGCCATAGCCGCATGGCTCTGCCCCTTACTGAACACCTGCGGACCCACAGGTACACCGGTTGGTGCTAGTGGATGAGAGCCAGCATCTCCTGGGCGTGGTGTCCCTCTCCGATATCCTTCAGGCACTGGTGCTCAGTCCTGCTGGCATTGAGGCCCTCAGTGCCTGAGAAGATCCGAGTCCTCATTCCCAGGACACCTTCCACACCCGGAGCCCACGGAGGGAGCTGGGGCATCGGCCTTCATCTTCACCCACCCCCGTTAGCTGGTTCGGCTCTGGTTCAGGTAGGCTCTGCTCTGGGCCATTGGCCTCAGCACCAGCCCCATGGTCTTTCTGGCTCCCAGATCTCAGACCGGGGCTCCCTGAGGATGGGGAGTGGACCAGCTCCCAACTGAACAGCCCCATGGAAACTACAAGTGTCTGAACTCGCCGTGGGGCCATCACATTGTCCCATTCTCAGCTGAGGTCATAGAGCTCCTCATGAGAGCGGTGCACAGGGGCCAGGAAACAGGCGAAGGCAGGGTGCGGGGACTTCCGGTGCTCTGGGGAGGTTGGCCTGCCCTTTCACAATTCAATTCCCACCTGCTTGGAATTCCACTGCTGGAAGGAAGCGAGTTAACACAGCTTTGTTAAATGGCCTTTCCCTGCTCAGTAAGAACTCAGTCTAAAAGGAAGAAGCTTCTAATCCTCTTTTTAGTAAACTGGACATGATCTCAGATTTTGCCTAGGAGTGTGTTCGCTCGGGGTTTGCAGAAGGGTGGGGGCAGGGCGCAGATTCCACCTACTGGGCAGTGGATGGCAAGACTGAGGTTCTCCTATTGGAAAGGCAACCTCTCCTCCTCATTTAGTCACTGTCTTTCCTTCTCTTTTCCTCACAGGCTTCTCCAGCCCTCCCTAAATGCCCTTGCCCTGTCTATGCTCCCAGAAGCCCTCGGGAATGCCCAGTGCACTATGGGATGATGAAATTAAGGAGAAAACCTGAGTCAAGCCTAGAGGTCCCTGAACCAGAGGCCTTGGGATTGCCCCAGGGCCAACTGCTCCATGTCCACACACGTCACTTTCCCCTCTGCCCCACTGGGGCGGCAAGCCCATGGATTTAGTCAGGGGCTCTGGATCCTTCGGCTTGTGGACTACCTGCTGCTCTGTGTCCCAGCTCCTGAGAGTCCTGGCTGTTCTTCCCCTGAGAACTGCCTTACTGGTTCCCACAGCTTTGCCACTGCCCCTCTCCTCCCCCTGCATTGACATTTCGGGGCTGCTGGGGGCTCCATGGAGCAAGAGATATTTGCAGAGCTGCCTGTGGGAGTGGGGTCTTCCCTCCATTCGCGTGCTCAGCTCTCACCAGCAGTGTTCTTGGTGCCCAGGGATGGCCCTACATTCAGATCACTGAGGAGGAATGATAGACAAGCACAAAAAAGAACAGCCCAGGAACTTAGATTTTATGTTCCACTCAGAAAATGCTACAGTCGTTTGACTTGAACTTGTGGCAAGATCCCTGTACTTTCTGATTTCAAAGACACCAAGGAAGATCTGTAACTGGCAAACAGCCCGAGTGCATTTCTTTTGTTCACAGAGTGTTATTCCTCTGACATTTCTTTTTCATCTTTTGTTTATAGAAAAAAACATAAAATGTTAGTTACTTGCACAGTAGCTACAACTCACTCCATAAACTCTATCATTTGCACGACACTTCTTTGTTTTTTCTAACACTGAGTATAATTTCCATTATGAAGCCATTTCCCACAGGTGGTAGAAATTAATCTCAGTGAGTTTGGGGTCCCCCTCCTGTCTTTTCCGGGGGTTAAGTTCAGTGAGGAGGAGGAGGTGTTCAACAGTGTAAGAGTTTGTTCCTCAGTCATCACCCCCCACCCATGTCAGCTCCTGTTAGAACATCCCCATTGCACTTGGTGGGTCATGGGTGGGCATGGCCCCTGCTTGGTGATCCCTCACTCCCTACCATGAAGCCTCTTCGGGCCTGCCTGCCCTTGGGGCATGAGGACATTCTAGCTCCTGGCCCCGCACTCCTTTGGGCTTCAGGAAGCTCTGTGGGGCTGTCCCAAGCCCATCCACTGTGAGGAACAGCAAGTGGCCTGTTCTACTCTGAGCCTTGAAGGTTTTCCCAGGAAACATGAGGCCCAGGGGTCTTCTAACCTATGACCTCCAAACCTCTCCAGGGTATTTGTCATTCTTCTCCCCGCTCAGACACAGCTCCCTCTCAGGGACCCCAGAACTGTCTACGCTCTTTGCGTCCCCAGCCCCCACTGGCTTGTGGACCCTTTATCCAGTGGGGAAGAAGGGGCATGTTTCTCTAACCCATCATATCTTCTTCCAAACCCTCTGTGTATCTTGAGTTTTTGATATCCATCCTGAGAGCCAGGCTTCTGAACTTCCAAAGCCAAGACTGAGCTTCTGCTGTGTCGCCCTCCACTCTGACCATGGACACTGCAGGCGGGGCTGGCCGGTGGGGAGAGAGAGGCTGATGTACCTAAAGTATGCACCCGCCCCATTTACCTCACAGAGCAGCGAAGTGGAGACAGGAGCCTGGTGGGCCAGGTAGGAAATAAAGGCATTTCCTCAGACTCTCAGCTTCTGTTTCCGGTTTTGCCCTAACCCACAGGCCAGGTGCTGGCTCTGCTCTGGGAAGTACCTACCTGGGAAGGTACTGGGTCTTAGGCTCAAGTGGGATGATGGGATGGGAGTGTTTGGTCATTCAACTCACAGCATCCTTGGGCGGGTGGGGGGCGGGGCCAGCTGCCTCCTACCGACCCGCTGTCTCTAGGGAAAGTGCATCAGGCTCAGGCTTCAGGTGAAAGCGCCAGTGCGAGGAAGGCATCTTCCCCTGCTCTGCTGCCCTTGGGAGCAGACAGGTCTCCACCCTCCCCAGAACCCAGCAGGTGACTCCCTGGGGGGATCTTTCTTTCAGTCGAAGGTACTTCTGCTGTGCTGAGTTGATGTGTACTCTTCTGCGGTTATCCTAAACCCTATTGTTCTCTCCTTACAGAGTCAGGTGGGGCGGGGGGGCGGGGGGGGCGGGGCGGGCGCGGTTATCAGGGAGCCTCACCAAGACATCACTCGGCTGCGCCGTCCGGGGCAGCAGAGTACCTGAGGCTCCAGGCCTTGAAGTGGGTCTCATCACTCACTGGCCTCTGACGCGCTTTGTGCCAAACCTCGAACCGCAGCTAATGGGTTCCACCCTCCAGGGAGAAAGGTGCAGAGGGAAGAGCCCAAGCTATTGCAGCACCAAAGAGTGCTTTTTTCATTTGCATGAAATGTCTTGTCCCAGCATTGTGCTGGAATATAAACTGGCAAAGACCATTTTCAGCACCACCTCCCACCCCAACATAAGCAATAGAACTTCGTGTGCACGTGTGGTATACATGTACTGTTCTGAAGGTATATTTCAATCAAAAGCTTTTTTACATTTTATATATATATATATGTGTATATATGTGCAAAAATACATATAAAGGTTATATATGTATAACCTTTAGTATAAAGAGAAAACCTCTTTGGCCATGTTATATTTTGTTTTTCTCTGTTTGGGGGAGCAGTCTTTGATTCTCTTCTTCCCAGAGCTATATCTGTGGGCAAGGTTTCATAGTGTGTTAATAGCTCTTTGGCTCTTGTACCCTGTAGAACACAACATTCACTTGTCACCAATGGCAAAAGCTTTTTGGGAAGAGCCTCGGAAGCTGTGCCTACACCTCACCTGCCCTTTAATTGATCCTCACAAGGACATCATTATTTCACCAGCCTGCTTAGCTCTTGTTTTGGGCTCTACATTTCTGATTTCTGACTGGAGGTTGCATTTTAGGAGCAGAGATGCACAGCGGAACAGAGCCACCCCAGGACTTCCTGTGGTGCTCCTAGAAGTACTGTTAACATCAGCAGCTATTTCTACAAATTCACCCTCACAGATTTTTTTCCATTGAGAAATAATTCACGTACCATTTAAATTCACTATTTCAAAGTATACAATTCAGTGGTATTTAATACATTTACAAAGTTGTGCAATATCACCACTATCTAATTCCAGTTCATATTCCTCATCCAATAGAAACTCTATATTCATTAACAATCACCCCATTCTCTCTTCCCCTCCCCCCGGCTTCTAGCAACTACTAATCTACTTTTTGTCCTCATGGATTTGCCTATTCTGGACATTTTGTGTAAACAGAATGTGGTCTTTTCCAAATATATGGTGACAGAAGGTAATTTAACTTTGGGTGGTGAGCACACAATGCAATATAGAGATCGTGTATTATAGAAATTGACACTTGAAACCTATATACTCTTATTAACCAATGTCACCCCCATAAATTTAATGGAAAAAGATATGGCCTTTTTTTTTGTCTGGTTTTCTTCATTAGTATAATGTTTTCAAGGTTCATCCATGATGTAGTATGTATCAGTACTTCATTTCTTCTTTTATGGCTGAATAATGTTCTATCCACGGATATAGAAGCTTTTCATAGATTTTAATGAGAAAGTAGCCTACACATTCATTCACTGAGCCGCAGATCATGAATGCTGACACTCTAGGGCAGAACTACAAATCCCCAGCTCCAAGCCACATCTCCCCACCCACGTGGCAGGGTCCTTTGGTGGTCTGAAGGAGCAGCACACGGGGAAAGGTGGAAGTCTGCTTTGGTTGACACTGTGCTGTACAGGGATCAGTCCTCTGCCCAGGCCCGGTCCTCTGCATTTATAAGGAGCTCTCGCTGGTGAACCCCGACACAAGCACGGTTGAGATCCACGCCTTTATAATCAGGAATTCCTTCCACTTCTCCCCAGGTTTCTCTTCTCAATATGGAAAGCTCATATCCAACCCTGTCCTCCTCCTTCCTTCCTCCAACTGCAGTCTCTTCTCATTCAACAAACATTTATTAATCGCCTCCTAAGTGCTAGACACAGACTTAGACACTGGGATCCAAACCGAAAGGGGCTTGATTTGTGCCCTCCATGGGGTCTGCAGCTGGCTGGGGAGATAGGCATGCTTACAACAAGGGGACCAGGCTGAGTGCTCAGTGCTGTAAGAGGAGGGGGCGGGGAAGGCACAAGAGGAAGTGCTCCCACTCGCCCAGAGAGGTCAGGGAAGGCTTTGCAGAGCCAGTGACATTTGAGCTGAGTTCTGAGGAAAAGCAAGTTCTCTGGGATGACGTGACAGTTGGTGGAAGAGGGTGTTCCAGGGAGACAGGACATGAAGTTCAAAGTATTGAGGCCAGAAAGAGCATAGTGCGCTCAGGGAAACAAGGAATTTGGGCTCTGCTGTGGGAAGAGCTGAGGCTAAGAGGGGAGTAGCGGGGGCGGGGGGGCGGGTAGCATGCCAGGACGGGGGTCTCCTCAGCCACAGGGAGGCTTTTGACCTTTAGGGGTGAGGGAGACTCCTGAAGGGTCTTAGCCAGGACAAGCGTGTGCTTTTTTAATGGGTGTAATCTCAAATCCCCACAGGCATAAGAAACTTGACTTTCTTTTTCTATGACTCAGCAGAAATTTAAAACGGGGACTGGGACTCTGAAGCTGGGACTCACTGACTTCTCAGGCCTGTGACATGGTGCATTGGATCTCAGTGCAAACCCACCTTCATTCTAGTTGGCTTTCTGTACTAAAGAAGTTTGAAAACTAAAAGCTATAATCCCCAGACTTCCTTGCAGAGAGAGTTCCAGGAGGGACATAGGTTCTACCTCTCAGATGCATATGAAAGAGATTGGGAAAGTGGCAGTGAGACAAAGGCCACAAGTCTGCTACTCCTGATCTTTCTGGAGGCATTAGCAGATGTCCAAGTCCGGTGACTACTGGTTTCTTGGGTATTAAGAGGCAGGACTGGGGAGGGAATCAATATTCTTCTTCCTTCTTTCTTTCTTTCCTTCCTTCGTTCCTCTTCCTTTGTTTCTTCTTTCCTTCCTTCCTTTCTTTCTCTTTCTCTCTCCTTCTTCCCTCCCTCCCTCCCTCCCTCCTTCTCTCCTTTCCTTCCTTCCGTTTCCTTTTTCTTTTTTTTGCCAGGAGACCTGGGGGACATGGGCCAATAGCTGTAGTGAGAGCTCCCCAACTCTCATCCTCCTGAGTGTGGCCCACGTGCTGCGCCCCAGGCTGGTGGGTGCCCTGGTGATGTCCCAGGCGTCACTCTTACAGGTCTAGCCTAGAGCTCTTGTAGCAGTTTGTGTAGCACCTCACGGCCTGAGCTAAGCACTTTCTGTTCAGTGGAGGGCGCTGTCCTCAGGGCCTGGGAGCGCCTCTGCAGCTCCCAGGCGAAGCCCAGGCCTTTCTGTGAGGTCTGGGAAAGCATGTGAGACTCTCAGTTGCCATAGAGGGAGGTGGCTCTGCTTGCCACCAAGATTCCTAAGCGGGGAGAAGGCATTCCCCAAACACAGAAATCAGTTCAGATGCTGGGTCATCAAAAAGAATGACCAAGGTCTCCAATTCCCAAGAAAAGTCCCTTTATTCTATGTTTCCCCAAGGATAGCAATTTATCTAAGAGGGAGGTGCGCAAAATGATCAAAGTAGCAAAAGCTCAGGGTTCTCTGGGCAGTGCGCTGAGTTCCTCCAACCTTTGGTATATGGCAGCCCTCCTTTCCCCCCCCTCATCTGAGACATAGCAGTGGCCAGAAGCCCCTGGGCCAGGGCCAGGGCCCCTAGGGCAAGCCCCAGCATGGCAGGGCCCCACTCAGCACTGTCTCTGCAGAAAACGCAGGCCCACCTTCTTATGAGGAACCAGGACAATGCGGGCCACACT